TCAACCTCCCGGTCAAAAAGAAAGAAAGAAAAAATCATTTTCCACCAGGGCGTCTCTGTCTCCAAGTCCTGAGTGGATCAGAGCAGCCGGACCACATAGGAACAGACCATTCGGAGCTGGACTAGAGCCCGTGTCGAACAGGCTTTGTAGTTAGTCACTAGAGGGCAGTATTGTCACACAACTGAGGCGGCCGCAGTCGCTGGCCACAGGGCGCTGTGATGCTGATAGCGAATCTCTTAGGTACCTTCCCGCAGTGGGTCTGGCCCACGAAAGCTTATCACCTAATAAACCATCTTGTTAGTCTTTGCAGTGCTACATAGTCCTGTCTCTTCTCCCCGCAGGATTTGAGAACCGGGGCTTTGAAATGCGGGATTTTGATTTTTTCGTCTGCTCGTAGGTCTCTCGTCGTCACTTTCATCTGTAAAGTGTAAAATTAAATGAATTACCCCTTTCCCTCCCCCCGCAAATGTGTCTAAAAGCAGCTACAGTGGAAATACATCCCTGGTGCATCTTCCCAACAGGTGACTCGAGAGGAAGACAGGGCGAGTTGGTAATGTTCCTGCTGGTTATTCATAAATGTATCCCTTTGCATCAGTAGGTGCCACGTCACTTTCCCGACATGCCCAGTCCTACAATAGAGGAAAGTGAGGAGCACAGAAATGACTTGCCAGAGTTCACTCGGCAGCCAGACTTTTCAAATCCAGGGCCGGCTCTAGGCACCAGCAAAGCAAGTATGTACTTGGGGCTGCACATTTCAAGGGGCGGCATTCTCGCTGAGAGCCGCCCGCTGAGTGGGGACGTTCACTCGGCACAGCCCCCTGCAGCCCGAAACTCCTGAGCTTAAGCGACCCGCCAGCCTCAGCCTCCCGGGCGTTGGGATCACAGCACCTGCCATGGCTCCCGACCGGCTGCCAACGGCTCCAGGCTGCACCTTGAACTCACTGTCCGATGGAACCGAGTGCAGGCGCCATGTGATATCGGCATCTCCCTTGGCATTGCCCTTGGAACACGGTCCATGGGGTGTGTGTGTGGAGAGGTTGGGCTCAGCCCTGAGAATGGGGCGCGGGCCGGTATCAACACAAACCGGGTCTGGATCGGCCCCAGCTAGTCCCAGGGGCGCCCCGCTGTCAGTGCGCCCCGCCCAGAGCTCTGACCTGCTCCATTTCTGATCCAGGTCCCTTCTCCCCGGCCCTAAAACATCCCAGCAGTGACCGTGTCAAGGCCGAACGTGGCCCAGCAGGGTCCCCCCGAACTGCGGACGCCTCCAGCCTCAGCCTCCAGCAGCGCTGGGAAAAGAAGCGCCAGCCTGTGCAGCCCCCCTCCCCCCAGTGCGCCCAGTGTGACCGATGGGAATGGAGCCCCCGAAACACCCGGGGTCCTATAAGGAGGGACAAGGGATCCCCCGCCCCTTGGATCATGTGCGGGGAGCGGCATTAGCCCAGCTCCCTGGCGCCCGCTCTGGCCAGCGCCTCAGACCGCAGAGCTTGAAGCTGGAGCCTTGAGAAGGCAAAACCCACCCGGCACAATGGCGGGTGCCTGTGATCCCAGCGCCCAGAGCGGCTTAGACCAGCAAGTCGCTTGAGTGTAGGAGTTCTGGGCTGCAGGGGACTGTGCCGAATGGGTGTCTGCACTCAAGCGGCATCAACATGGGGGGAGCCCGGGGTCCTCAGGTTGCCTAAGGAGGGGCGAACCGGCGGAGGTCTGGAACTGAGCAGGTCGAAGCTCCCCTGCCGCTCAATAGTGGGATAGCCCCTGTGGCGCAGCCTGGGGGAGACCCGGCCTCTTGTTATGCCGCCCTCCGCAGAACCCATCTGGGGAACGGAGCATCCACACGGAGGGGTCCGGAATGGGGAGGGGGGGCAAACACGCAGGAGTCAGGGGTCTTCAAAGCGCGATCGGACCCCAGATGCCAAATGTCCGGGCTGGGCACAGAGGGGCTCGCACGCTGCTTCCCGGAGTCTCGAAGGAGCTGCAGGGCTCGCAACTCACGTGTCTCTCTCCGAACCCTGCAGCCCATCTCGTGTGCGGGGCCCTGCTCCCCTCTCAGGATCTCTGGGGAATGGGCGCCCCCGCTGCTCCAGTCCGGATCCCAGCTGTGTGTTTGGCTCCATTCTCCTCCCCCAAGGCTCTGCAGTGGGGGGCGGCATAAAAAGAGGCCGGGTCTCCCCAGCCTGCGCTGCAGGCGCTGCTCACAGGCGCTATCCCACTACTGAGCGGAACCGGAGCTTTCACCTGCTCCGTTCCCGACCTGGGCAGGTTCGCCCCTCCTTCCGCAACCTGGGGACCCCGGGCTCCCCAGGGACCCCGCAGCCTGGGGACCCCGGGCTCCCCAGGGACCTCCCCCCAATGCCACACTTAGCGCGGACATCCGCTCGGCGCAGCCTCCTGCACAGACTCGCACCCAGGCCCGTGTGGAGCCCGGAGGCCTTGGACAGAGCGAAGCGTTTCAGCTCGCGGGAGGCTACTCGGGTCCTGGGGGCAGGGAACAAGGCGCCACCAGGGCAATGTCAGGCAGCGGGGTCGGTGACACGCGCCCCGAGGGTCCCACCTCGCCATCCGCTCCGCTGCCCTTAGTGCAGGGTCAGCTCTAAGCACCAGGAAAGCCCCCGGTCCAGCTCCGCTCATGCGTCTCTCGCAAAAAAGGGAGGGGCGGCCAAAAAAATGTTGCTTGGGTGGCAAAAAACCTAGAGCCGGTCTGGGACCGGACCCAGCGCTATTGGCTGCCCAGCTGTTCTCAGACTCTCCTGGACAGGCTGGTGCAGCCTTTCACCCGCAGGCGGGTCCCAGGCCCGCTGCCCTTATCGCTTCTCCACAGCGGCTGTGTCCCCGGGACTCCCCCTCCCTCCCCTTGGCTTCCTCTGCTCCCGGCCCCGCAGCACTTCCCACCAGCCGGAGATTGCACTTTCCAGGCCTGATTCTGTGGATTTGAGCCCCCGGGCCGCTTCCTAAGGGACCCCAAGGAGAAAGGGAATTTCCTTCAAGCAGTGGCCCCACAGTCTGGGAATGGGGGTGTCGCTCCGGGCACAGCCATTATTCTTTGAGCTCTTGGTGCACAAGGAAAGTTAAAAGCCACCTGCCCAGACAGGGCTGGACACCTCGGTGTGACTTAGTGGGGGGTACCTTGCTGGTTGCTAAGCTGAGCAGTGGGTTGTGAGTGACCTCCACTGGCTGCTGGCTGCTGCACGGTCCAGCAGGGCAGGGGATGAGTCATTATGCAAAGGGGCTTCGAAACTGTCTGACCAGTTTGGCTACGTCTACACTGGCCCCTCTTCCGTAAGGGGCATGTAAATTTCAAGAGTCGTCGTAGGGAAATCCGCGGGGGATTTAAATATCCCCCGCGGCATTTAAATAAAAATGCCCGCCGCTTTTTTCCGGCTTTTAAAAAAGCCGGAAAAGAGCGTCTAGACTGGCCCCGATCCTCCGGAAAAAGTGCCCTTTTCCGGAGGCTCTTATTCCACTTTGAAGTAAGAATAAGAGCCTCCGGAAAAGGGCACTTTTTCCGGAGGATCGGGGCCAGTCTAGGCCCAGACTCACCGATCTCAACGGGGGCTGAGGCATCCTAGGTCTGCCCTGGAACCAGATTACATCTCTGCTCTATCCTGGAGAAGCAATAAACTCCCTCAATTCTACTGGCTGGTGAAGTCTGTTCATGCCATTTCGGGGTGCAGGAGATGGGGGAACCCCAACGCGCCGTCACACTCTGCTGCCGGGTTAACAACCTGATGCTCTGCCAGCTGCCCCAGTGAGTGACCTTAGAAAAGGTTTCAGGCTACTGCTAGGAGAGCGAAATGGTTCCACCCGCACTGTGAAGTAGTCTCCCTCAATTCTACTGGCTGGTGAAGTCTGTTCATGCCATTTCGGGGTGCAGGAGATGGGGGAACCCCAACGCGCCGTCACACTCTGCTGCCGGGTTAACAACCTGATGCTCTGCCAGCTGCCCCAGTGAGTGACCTTAGAAAAGGTTTCAGGCTACTGCTAGGAGAGCGAAATGGTTCCACCCGCACTGTGAAGTAGTGGGGGTACTTGCTGGGCTGTGGTGACCCCTGCTGTCTGGAGCAAGACCCAGCAGGGAAAACCTCACTATGCAAAGGTGATGCCAAACTTGTTGAACCAGACACCCCCCATGGAGAGGAACAAAGGAAGGTGGATGCTGCCCTGGCTGGGGGACAGGGCTGGAGGAGAGTTAGTTAGTTCCTGGCTGGAAGGCAGGGAATAAGGAGCTGGGGAGGGGGCTGGGACTCCCCTATCTCAAGGGGGGCACTGAGGCCTCTTAGCCCCAGTTCCTGTAACCAGATTACATCTGTGCTGCGCTGTGCTGGAGGAACAATAAACAACCTCCATTCTACTGGCTGGTGAAGTCTGTTCATGCCATTTCGGGGTGCAGGACACGGGGGACCCCCAACGCGCCGTTACACGCACACACGGGGCAGAGCCACAAGGAGGCAGCAAAGTGTCACGTGGGAGCACGAAGCGTTTCTTCCCGCAGACTGACCCTGGGCACAGGCTCCGGGAATTCCCGCCCCAGCGCCCAGGGCTGGATTGTCCCAGGGAGGGTCCGACCGCTCCGCCCCCTTCCCCGTCAGCACAAGGGCAGCGCCCAGGGCTCCTCGGGGGTTTGGCAGCCGCAGCGCTGGGGTCCGTTTCACCCGGGCGGGGGGAGCCCTCGGTTCTGTTCTGTCAGTTTCCTTCCTATCGCCTGTTACATTCTGAGTTCACAATAGGAGGAATCTTGACCCATGTCCACGTGCTTCAGTGTCTGCCGGGATCGGGACCCGAATTTCATTCGTGTGTTTAGTTCCCGCCAGGACCGCGCCCCGCTCAGTTCTCCCGGCGTCTATTTGTACAGGCGGGTGACGCTGAGGTTTAGTCAAGTGACGTAGCGGTGCCCACATGCAAATGAAGAAGGAAAGTGACTGATAAAGGCGAACAAGCGGCCCTCCCTGAACAGCTGCCGGCAGAGGAAGGGTCGCTAGTTCCCAGGCACGGAACCGAGGCTCAAAATGCTCCGTCTGAGCCTCTTTTCCTTGTTGGCAGCTCTCTCGGGTAGGTGGATGAACGCACCGCTGGTCTAGGGGAGGGAAGATGGTTTTAAAGCTAAACCAAAGCGGCTGCGGTTCAGGACTGCAAAATCTCTGGCTCTGAACAAATCAGGCAGGTTGGGATTTTGAAGCTGTCACGAGGAATTTAATACCCACATTCATCATTTTTTAATGCGAAAGTGTCTAAAAACTCAAAGACAGCTCTGGAAAACCTCAGCATGTGTCCATGCCTCAGTTTCTCCTTTGAAAACGGAGGACAACTGCCTACTACACAGGAGGGTGGTGCGGATACGTTTCTTTTTACACACAATCAGATCAGCTTCTGCCGTGAGGAGGGCAACAGAGGGACTTGGATAAATCTGGAAAGGTGGGAACAGAAGGGAATTAATTGTGCTTTTGTTATTAAAAGGTGCCAGCTCCCAGGTCCAGCTGACTCAATCTGGAGCAGAAATCAAGAAGCCCGGAGAGTCCGTGAAGCTGACATGTAAAACCTCCGGCTACACATTTACCGACCATTGGATCCACTGGGTCCGGCAGGCTCCCGGGAAGGGCCTGTCACACCCACATTCATCATTTTTTAATGCGAAAGTGTCTAAAAACTCAAAGACAGCTCTGGAAAACCTCAGCATGTGTCCATGCCTCAGTTTCTCCTTTGAAAACGGAGGACAACTGCCTACTACACAGGAGGGTGGTGCGGATACGTTTCTTTTTACACACAATCAGATCAGCTTCTGCCGTGAGGAGGGCAACAGAGGGACTTGGATAAATCTGGAAAGGTGGGAACAGAAGGGAATTAATTGTGCTTTTGTTATTAAAAGGTGCCAGCTCCCAGGTCCAGCTGACTCAATCTGGAGCAGAAATCAAGAAGCCCGGAGAGTCCGTGAAGCTGACATGTAAAACCTCCGGCTACACATTTACCGACCATTGGATCCACTGGGTCCGGCAGGCTCCCGGGAAGGGCCTGGAGTGGGTGGGATACATCGATCCTAGCAGCGGTAGCACTGGCTACGCTTCGGCCTTCCAGGGGCGATTCACCATCACCAGGGATAACTCCATGACCACGTCCTGGCTGCAGCTGGGCAGCCTGCGAGCCGATGACACCGCCACGTATTACTGCGCTCCGGACACAGTGACACAAACCAGCTCTCCAGCCCTTCACAAACCCCAGTGAGAGAACCCAGGCGTCCTGCCAACCCTGGCGTCTTTAAAAGCAGCGAGTCGTCCTAGGGCACCAGTCCCGAGAGAGATCCACAGTCCGGGGCAATTTCTCCCCAAACCTCATCGGCCCCCAACTCACTTTGGCCTCCTGGGAATTAGATGTTTTTGGCTGCAGCGCTAAGTCAATTTTCGAAACATGAATTAGGCTTCTGGGAGAGTCACCTGTGACAGCAGAAAAACACTCACCAGGAAATGTCTAGATGGGAGGCTTTTTGGGGGGGGTGTCAAATATCTCCCGTTGAAGCTGTTCCTCAGGAAATAAATGAATACTCAGTAGGGCTGAAAGAGGAGGGGGTGTCTGCGCCCCCTGTCACCGTTCACTTGACAGGGGAAGGTGCGTCTCAAATCCCTGCTCCCACACCAGGCTGAGGAGGGATGATCCTGGCTCTATCATTTCCTAGGCAAGTGCTCCAACCACTAGGTTAACGGCTATGGGAACTTGTGGCGTAGCGGGGGTGCTGTCTGCTCTGTGACCCGGGGTCCCCCTGCGCCATGATGGGAGATTCTCACTGACTCTCCCAAATGTGTATTAACCCAGACACCCAGGCTCAGCCTCCCAGGGAGAGACAAAGGAAGGAAGGGGGAGACCAACATCTGGCTGGGGGGCAGGGCTGGAAGAGAAGTTTTTAGTTTCTGTCTGGAATCATGGAGGAAGCAGGCTAGGCAAGGGGGCTGGGATTTAGGGGTCCAGTCTCCCCCATCTCAAGGGGGGCTGAGGCATCCAGGCCTGGCTCTGTAACCAGATTACATCAGTGCTGTGCTGTATGCTCCCTTGAGATGGGGGAGTCTGGGCCCCTAAATTCCAGCCCCTTCCCCTAGACTGTCTCCTCCATGCTCCCAGCCAGAAACTAACCAACTCACTTCCAGCCCTGAAGCCCCCTCCCCAGCCAGGGCTCCACTCCCCTTCTTCCCACTGTTCCTCTCCCTAGGGAAGAACTTGTCAGACAGGTTTGAAGCCCCCTTGCATATTGACTCATCCCCTGCCCTGCTGGGCTGTGCTGCAGCCAGCAGCCAGTGGAGGTCACTCCCAACCCACTGCCCAGCATAGCAACCAGCAAGGTACCCCCCCATTACGTCACACCCTGTTCCCACGGCCCGGCTCTTGTTGCAGATGGGACATTTTCACTGATGTAAAACCTGGTTTATGAGACTCGTTCCCACGTGGCTCCTGCGCTCTCCTTCCCCCGCAAGGACCCGCTCCCAGATTCCTTGGCCTGGGAGGGGAGGCGCCCCGTGGCCTGAGCTCTGCGCTCATTGGTGACAGCGGCTCCTTCTGCCCCTCAGCTCTGTGCCAATGCCCGTGGGTCGGAGGGTGCCGGGAAGGAAACGCGCAGGTACAGTCAGTGCATGGGCACTTATCAGAGGGCTACAATCAGACTGAATATGCTGGGTACTGTGTACCTACAGACCTTGGGCGTCCAGGGACATAACACTTCGCAGCCACATTTCTAACACAATTGTGACAGCGAGCGGCAGTTTTCACCCACCCGCCAGCCTGATACCCAGAGAGAGTTTGTCACCCACAACTTCCCGGTTCTAGCAGAAAATCGGTGTCTGGGAGCCTGATCCCAAAGACTGGGACGTTAGCGGGTGTCTTGCCTTGACTCTGGTATTTACTGGTTCGGGTACCATTGACTCCTGTCCCGGACCTTCACCCATTCAAAGCAGGTGTCTCTGGATCCCCGGTCCGAAACATGCGCTCAGTACCCAACCCATCCCCCACAGCGCTGTGCTGCAGTGTCCCACGGGAAGGGCGGAGTAAGCACAACTCTCTGGAGCCTGGAGGAAGGATTTCAGAGTGTGAGAAGGATGGGGTAGCTCTTATAAGGAGGGGGACATGTAAATAGAGGTGTCAGTTTCCTGTTTAAATCTGTCCCTTTATCGGCCCAGGCTGTACCCACACAGACAATCCGCAGCCCCCTGGGTCTGGGCAGTGACCAGCCAGTCCCCTGAGAGCTTTCCCCTCCCACAGAAGGGAAAATTGGACTTTGTCTGCATTTAGTTTTCATGGCAGCCGCCTTGGCAGGTGTTTTATCCCATTCGGGGCACTGGGGACTCCCGAGAATCGTTCTTTTCATGTAACACGCACCGCGTGTCTGTGACGGAGTTCACAGCTAGTGACTTATACCAGGGGTGGGAAATGTTTTGGGTCGGAGGTCGCTGACTCAGAAAGAAGAAGAACACTCCCCACATTGCTCTTACACACCGCAGCACAGGGGGGTTCAGCCTAGTCAATTGTGTTTGTTCCGGCCCCACGATGGGGCGACAGTTGTGCTGGATTGAGACCCCGGCCTTAGGTTCCCCACCCGTTTTCTAGAGCAGGGAGTTAATGTGTCTCGTTCTTTTATTAGTCGCTTTCTGGCATTCCTCTGTAGTCTACACTGGCTGGTTCTTGCGCAAGAGCTGACATACACAGGTGTCGAGAAATACCGTGAGGCTCCAGAGAATGAATCTACTCTAGAACATCGGACTGGCCGAAGCGGGCCAGAGCTCTGATCCATCTGGGCAGTAGCCTGTTTCCAAGCAGGAGCTTGGTTTGTTAAGGGTGTCTGCGCACCGGGTCAGCTCGATGCAGCCGGTCGAGGCCGGGGAGGGAAAGGGGTTTCCGGCCAAACCCCTCCCAGCGCGGCGAGAAATCTGCCCTGGCCAGTGGCGGGCCCGGCCCAATGGCTCCCTGGGACACGGCCCCTCCCCGCACACTGAGCCAGTGACAGGACTGCGTGGCCCTTCTGCACGTGGCCGGGGCTCCAGAGATAACTCCCCCCCCCCCATCACCTGAGAGTCAACAAGTCCCCGGCCCCAGTGTGAGAAAACACAGTCACTGCGGGGAGCTGCTCTCTCCCCCAAGTCCGAAAGTGTCAGGAGGGTCCAAGCGCCCCGTGCCGGGCCCCGCAGCGCTCCCCGCCAGCTGGAGATTGCACTTTCCAGGCCCGGTTCTGTGAATCTGAACCTCCAGGATGCTTCCTAAGGCCCCCCCAAGAGAAAGGGAATTTCCTTCAGGCAGTGGCTCCACAGGCTGGGAATGGGGGTGTCGCTCTGGGCAAAGCCAGGATTCATTGGGCTCCTAGGGCACAAGAAGGGTTAAAAGCCACCTGCCCGGACACCTGGGCTCCCGGGTTAACAGCCTGATGCTCTGCCAGCTGCCCTGGTGGGTGACCTCAGAAAAGGTTCCAGGCTACTGGCAGGAGAGCGAAATACTTCGCGCGCACCAACGGGGCAGAGCCACAAGGGGGCAGCAAAGTGTCACGTGGGAGCACGAGGCGTTTCTTCCCGCAGACTGACCCTGGGCACAGGCTCCGGGAATTCCCGCCCCAGCGCCCAGGGCTGGATTGTCCCAGGGAGGGTCCGACCGCTCCGCCCCCTTCCCCGTCAGTACAAGGGCAGCGCCCAGGACCCCTCGGAGGGTTCGGCCGGCGCAGTGATCGGGCGCCTTTCTGCCCGCAGGGGCGCAGCGCTCGGGCCCATTTCACCCTTAGTTTGGTTCTGTCAGTTTCATCCATTGTGTGTTGGGTTTGGATTTCACTATATGAGGAATCTTCCTGCTGAGTCCCCCAGTTAACTCCGAGCTCAGACCCATGTCCACGTGCTTCAGTGTCTGCCGGGATCGGGACCCGAATTTCATTCGTGTGTTTAGTGCCCGCCAGGACCCCGCCCCGCTCAGTTCTCCCGGCGGCTATTTGTACAGGCGGGTGACGCTGAGGTTTAGTCAAGTGACGTAGCGGTGCCCACATGCAAATGAAGAAGGAAAGTGACTGATAAAGGCGAACAAGCGGCCCTCCCTGAACAGCTGCCGGCAGAGGAAGGGTCGCTATTTCCCAGGCACGGAACTGAGGCTGAAAATGCTCCGTCTGAGCCTCTTTTCCTTGTTGGCAGCTCTCTCGGGTAGGTGGATGAACGCACCGGCATCAGCTCAGCACAGCTGGGCCAGGGGAGGGAAGATGGTTGTAAGCTAGGACAAAGGGGTGCGGGTCAGGATTGTAAATTCTCTAGCCTTGAAGAAATCACATAAATTGAGATTTTTAAATCGTCAAAGAGATTTTAATACCCATATTTATTATTTCTAGCGGGATCTGGGTATCCAAAAACTGAGAGAGCACACTAAAAAACCTTACTGCCTCAGTTTCCCCCTTTCAGAATGGGGATAACTGAACCTCCCGACAGCACAGGATGATGGTGCAGGTAAATTCCTTTTGACACAAAAGCTGATCAATTTCTGCTGTGAGGAGGGGAACAGAGGATCTTGGGTAAACCTGGGAAGGTGGGGACAGACAGGAATTAACTGTGTTTTTATGATTAACAGGTGCCAGCTCCCAGATTCAGCTGACCCAGTCTGGGGCAGAAATCAAGAAGCCCGGAGAGTCTGTGAAGCTGACATGTAAAACCTCCGGCTACACATTTACCGACTATTGCATCAACTGGGTCCGGCAGGCTCCCGGGAAAGGCCTGGAGTGGATGGGGCACTGGCTACGCCCCGTCCTTCCAGGGGCGAGTCACCATGACCAGGGACAACTCCATAACCACGGCCTGGGTGCAGCTGGGCAGCCTACGAGCCGATGACACCGCCACGTATTACTGCGCTCGACACACAGTGACACAAATCTCATCTACAGCCCTTCACAAACCCCAGTGAGAGAACCCAGGGCTCCTGCTAATTCCTCACTCACTCTGGCCAGTGGTTGCCCGTGTGAACCTGGGTCATTAGCCCCCAGGCTCCCAGTGACATAGAATCAGAGACAGCTAAAGGGGTTTAGAGCCCTAAGTGCCTAAATCACTTTTCAGGCTACGACTCCGTTCCTAGGACTCAGTCAGCTCCAGCTGGAAGGGACCGGAGCGATCGCAGCCGCTGGAGACGCTGGATGTGGCTGAAATAAGCGGCAGGACATGTGGGTCTTTCCCAGAACCGGATCCTTCCCCAGGTACCTGTACCCTCGCTTACATACAGCTCCAGAGGGGGATGGGCCTTGGCTGCTG